GCTGGAAGTGATGGAGCTTCATCGGCTTCTCCTCTGATTGCCAAAGTTTGGCAGGGATCTTATGTCATCAGATGAAGAGATATTTTCATTTGCTCCAACTGTTTGTCACCTTGAATCCCAGTACCGTCCCAATCCTTCCCCCAATTCTTCCAACCCCGGTGGGAGCCGATGGAGTTCTACACCACGCAACTGCTGACTCTTAGCTGCGTATACAGTGGGGTCCAAACGCTTTCCACTCAAGAACGACACGCAGAACACAGCAGCAACAGGTACGTTATTGCATCTTCTATGACTTTGAGCCTGTACTAGCAATAGTTTTTGTTTCAAATCCACATTCCTGTATATGAGAGTGAGCTCTTGGTATTGTCTTTCAGATTCCATTCCTCCTGCACTTTTAAAAGACGACAGTTTATACGAGGTCTGAGCTGCTGGCAGCCCTGCCACATGCTACTGCCTTCACTGGAGAGTGGGCCACTGCATGGGCCAAAGAGCAGCACGTCTCTGACAGCAGCCTATGTATTCATGTGCAGGCCAAGGACCTCAGTTAGAATCTACAACTCGGCTTCAGATGAACTTAAAAACACGAATAGAATTCAGCCTTTTTATTATTATTATTCTGCATGACCTCTTTTTCCCCCAAAGTCAGGAAAGAGATGGCTTTATTTTTCATTTTGGAGGAAGTCTACGCTGATGAAAGTAATAAGGAAAATCTAAGTCAGCTGGTGGTTTTGCTGAGGATCCTGGACAGCAAGACACAAGCAATTGTTATCATGGATGTTTCACGGAAAACATATATTCCTACAGTATTTAACTCAAGAAACATTATACACCCCGAGGAGAATTATTTGTTAAGAAATTAAGTCTCAGTGTCACTCCTATCTCATTTCCTAACTTGCCAAGTCCTCCTCTTTGTCCTCTTTAAAAACACTAGGAATAGTATCACGAAAGCCCGACAGGTTAGTTATTGAAAACAGAAGAAAAAATGTCTAGAATGCCAAGTGCTTGTTTTCTTCTCTGCTGGTTCCCCATAGCCATGCCTATTTTAAGTGGCACAGTCCCAAACCATCTGAACACTTGGAAAGTTTGATGTTACAGGCTCTGTTTAAGTCAAGTTCTCTGGGGCAGAGAACTTCTCAAGTTATGCACGTTGCCCCATAAAACCAGCCCCATATCCAGCCAAAGATCAAAGTCATAAAAATACATACAAATTAAAAAAAAAAAAAAAGCTGCCCCAAAAATGTGTTTTGAGGAACAGGAATAGATGGATTTTCATCTAGATGCTTCCATACTGAAATCATTCTTAATGCTGCTATAAAGGAAAAAGGAACCTGAAATATCGAGTCCAATCAACAGCAGATGACCTCAACAGTTTCTTAACTAAAGATGAAAAACGTCTAATCCAATCAGTATCAGTGTTATCCCAGTTCCCCATCCCTTTCAAGGGATTCCTTCCCCACTGATGCACACAGCAGGGCAAGAGCCCACAGATAACACATTAATCACGGTGCTCTCTGTCACTTCTGTGCTTCAGAGTCATCCTGATGGAAGTTCAGCTGCATCCCGCTGGCTACGAACACCCAGTGGGGAAATCACACTGTCCTGCTTGCAATCGTGTTAAAATTTTACTGCATTTATACACTGATATGCCCTGACTGATACTCAATATGGCCACAGCTTATCCTTTTTAAAAACAAATGATTATTTAGTTTCCTTTGGAAAAAATAAGAGAACTAAGGCAGAACTCTAATTCTGAAAGACATCTTCACCTCCCTTCCTAACAGCCTACTTTATTCAGTCCAAATTTTATGCAAAAATGGTTGCAGAGCCCTTTTAGGGCATGGGGGGGGTCACACAAAACAAAAACCAGTGATCAAAACAAGTCGCTGGTTCTCAGCACTGATTCTTGCCTGGAATGCTGCTGAAGAAACACAGCCTCTCCCAACTTTAAAAATAATACAAAACCCAGAAAAGCAATTAAATGCTCTGTTTCCATGGCCTTGCATTTATCACCACATCAGGGCAGAAGGTGATGGCTCACTAGCAGGAAAAAGTAGCTCTGGTGACTTTGCAGCTTCGACTAAACCTCCAGGATGTCCCCAGGAAAGTGCAGAGAACTTTGCAAATTCCAACTGGCCCAGTTAGCAAGAGCGGATGTGAAAGAGGAAGCCGAAAGAGCAGATGCCTTTCTAAGACAGATGCACAGCATCTAGTTTCACAGAATTACTAAACTCAACAGTTTAGCAATTCAAGAGTCACATGTGATTATAACCAACAGGTTTTTTTAAAGCCTTAGAAAGAAAAACAAAGCAGGCTCAAAAAGCAACAAAACAAACGCCATTGATCAAAAACTTGATTTGCTGTGCCATCAACAAACCACCCTAGAGATGGTTGCATCATCCCACCAATACACTGCACAAGTTTCGTTTTATTTCAAAGCCCACAGAATCAAAGGCCCATCCCTGGAAGTGTCCAAGGCCAGGCTGGATGAGGCTTGGAGCAACCGGGTCTAGTGGAAGGTGTCCCTGCCCATGGCAGGGGGCATGACTGGGTGGGCTTTAAGGGCCCTTCCCACCCAAACCATTCTCTGGTTCTGTGAAGAACATGCAGACCAATCTCCTTTTGAATCATGCCACCTTCTCAGTCCTGAACTGGGCTTGAAGGTGCAGAGAACACTCTTATCCTTCCTGCATTTAACTCTTCACAACTCCTGACAAGGCCAACTGGAAGGCAGTTCTGGGGAGAGGGACAGAGGGATGGAAGAGACCCAAAAAACCAGCCCCAACGCTGATTACCGCTGACTTTCAAATGAGCTTATGTGTTACGCAACAAGAGGCAGTATCCCTTGCTTGGGAAGTTATTCCAGGGTTAGAAAGTTAGGAGACTCTCAAAGGAGCACTTCATGTTACGCTGTTTTGATGAGCAATGCTCCTGACAGCTGCCAATTGCTTGAAAAGGGAAACACCAGCTGCTATTTTGAAAAGAGAAAAGAATTAACAGTAACAGGAGGAACGCAGAAGACAAACTGCTTATATCCAGTCTATTACCACCCAAGTGAATGGACAACATTTTAATGTAGTTACAAAAAGAAAGAAAAAAGAAAGGGGATAAAAAAATAGGAAAAAGAAAAGGCTGCATTCTTTTTCAGTAAAATTAGAACAGTTCATATTTTTCCATAATAGGCAATATTTAAAACCTCTGTACATAGCTGGAGTTTACAACCCTTTGCCAAAGCAAAAGAAAGTACCTGAAATCCCACAGATTATCCACTGAACTCTAACAGGTAACAGTTAACTGTAGAAAGCCAGACTTCTTGCAGCAATTCTACAGTCTCCTCTGGATCATGCAGTACCTGATCCAGAACACTTCATTCCAGAAAGACACATTATATCTACTCAAAAAACCCACCAATTTTCCAGTGGTTTTCTGCTAACTGGAAAACACACCCCTGACTTGTTAATGGAGCCATCTACGCAGAGGCTTATTGCACAACAGTGTGAAAAAGGAGCTTCT